TTGGAAAGAAAATACCCGACTATTGGGATCCCAGCACAAAGTTACTGACAGACCCTCAGAAGTTTTTAGACTCTCTATTGCAGTTTGACAGAGAGAATATACAAGAGGCTACGATTCAGAAAATTGAACCATATCTTGCACTGGAAACATTCACGCCAGAACAGGTACGTAATGTTAAAACGACCTGCAGGTTTCTCATACGTTTGCTGCAGGTCGCTAGAGTTTCAAAGGCTTGCACATCAATATGTATGTGGGTGCGAGCAATGCACCAGTATTATCAGGTGCTTAAGATAGTCCGTCCGAAGCGGGAGCAACTTGCAGTAGCTCAAGCGTTACTTGATGAAACGATGGGAAAACTCCAGGCGGCACAGGCTAAGCTAAAAGAGGTATCGTTTTGAGTATGCTCCGCTTATGTCTAACTGTATATCCTTCATTATAGGTGGAAGAAAAAATAGCTAGGTTGGAAGCACAGCTGAATGCTGCAATAAAGAAGAAGGAAGACCTTGCCAAGCAAAAAAGCGATTGCGAGAAAAAAATGGAGCGTGCTTCAAAACTGATCGGAGGCTTGGGTGGTGAAAGGAAGAGGTGGAACGAGACTATTATAAACCTCACCGATGACATGGAAAACATTGTTGGTGATGTTGCTGTTGCCGCTGGAGCAATTGCCTATACAGGGCCGTTTACCCCCCAATACAGGCTACGTCTCAATCAGGAATGGGTAAAGCTGTTGCAAACGCTGCAAGTAAGTGACCATGTTGTAACTTGCATCTACTTGAACTGACCGTTACCGTCTTTCAGCTGCCACATACGCGTGGTGTTACTCTTCAAGCTGTGCTTAAAGACCCCGTGAAGATGCGAGCTTGGAATATTGCTGGGCTTCCTAGTGACTCTCTAAGTGAGGACAACGGCATTATTGTCTTCAAAGCGCGACGCTGGCCTCTCATGATTGATCCACAGGTGAATTGAGCACAATAAAATTGGTTCCTGTACTCTTTTTTCTTTTCTTTTTTTCTCATGCGCAGGGTCAAGCAAACAAATGGGTGAAAAACATGTACAGAGAAACTGGTTTGGACGTGATTAAACTTAGCGAAAGGGATTACCTACGGACTCTTGAAAATGCTGTCCGGTTTGGCAGAGTGGTGCTGCTAGAAAACATCTGGGAAACATTAGAGCCAGCATTGGAACCTCTTCTGCTAAGGTTGACTTTCAAGCAGGGAGGAACAGAAGTCATTAAGATAGGCGACAATCTTATTCCATACCATAAAGATTTCCGGTTTTATATGACAACAAAGCTTCGAAATCCTCACTATGCACCGGAGGTATGGCTATGGAAACTGTCATGTTTCTTTGAATGCCTTTGTTTCCGGACAGGTGTGCGTGAAGGTAACACTGCTTAATTTTTTCGTGACTATGGAGGGTCTTGAGGATCAGCTTCTGGGTCAAGTTGTTACCAAGGAAAGGCCTGATCTTGCTGAAATGAAGAACCAGCTTGTCGTCTCGAATGCCAACATGAAGCGCGAGCTTAAGGAAATTGAGTCCAAAATATTGTTTCTTCTATCAAATGCTCAGGTCAGTGACACCGTTGTGCTTGTCTCCGCCATTTTCTCACAGTTGTGTCGTTGCTACAGGGTGACATATTAGAGGATGAAGTACTTATAAATACTTTAGCACAGTCCAAGGTAACTTCGGATGAAATCACCATTAAGGTTGCTGAAGCCGAGAAGACAGAAATTGCCATTGACGAGACACGTGAAGTAAGCTTTCTATCGTGTCCCAAACTCAATAGAAAAGTTCGGTCTATGGTCAGGTGTATCGCAAAGTGGCAACAAGGGCCTCTATTCTATTTTTCTGTATTTCGGACTTGGCCATTGTGGATCCCATGTATCAGTACAGTCTTGCTTGGTTCATCAACTTATTTGGTCGAGCTATTGAAAGTGCTGCGCAAGCTTCTATCATTGACAAGCGAATTGAGAATTTAAACGAATACTTCACGTATTCCTTGTACGTGAATATCTGTCGGTCGCTCTTCGAGAAGCACAAGCTCATGTTTTCGTTCCTTCTTTGCATCAAGATTATGCAGGCATGGAATTTATGTTCTTGTCGAACTCTTTCTGACATATATCTACAGGGACGGAAAGAAGTTGATCCCACCGAGTGGCGGTTTCTACTGGCTGGTGCTGCCAGTTCAAGTGCACTCAGTCCAAATCCAGCACCTTCATGGCTTACTGACAAGGTACATCTGGTTCTTCCTGTTTTTTTCTCACCCTACTGAACGTTACGGTGGCCTACCTTTCAGTCCTGGATTGAAATTGCCAACCTTAGCAAGCTTCCAAACTACCAGGGCCTTGATAAACACGTGGCCGAGAACATAGGACACTACAGAAAGTATTTTGACAGCCCGGAAGCTCATCGAGAGCCCCTGGCTGGTGAATGGGACACAAAGCTCAGCATGCTCCAAAAGTTGCTGATACTTCGATGCCTTCGGGTAGACAAGGCTCTTCTCGGTGTTCAAGACTTCGTTGCTGCAACAATGGGACAGCGATTCATAGAGCCGCCAGCATTTGATCTGGGTGCATGTTATAAGGATGGATCCAACTCATCACCGCTTATATTCGTTCTCTCAGCAGGTGCAGATCCTATGGCAGATCTACTGAAGCTTGCTGATGAACTGAGGTTTACCAAGAAGTTCGAAAAGGTACGTACACGAGCTCGTTAGAACTTGTTCTTAACCGTTTGACTATCACCAGGTGTCTTTGGGCCAAGGACAAGGTCCCAAGGCAGAAAAGTTGCTAGAGCTTGGTATGGAACGAGGAATGTGGGTGTGCTTACAGAATTGCCACTTGTCCCAGTCATGGATGCCAGCTTTGGAGCGTATTGTGGACAATATTGATCCAGAGAAGGTACAGAGTGGAGTTCTTTTTTTTTTTGTGAATTACAAGGAAGAATTCCTTTGTAGGTTCACAAGGATTTCCGGCTGTGGCTGACAAGCATGCCCAGTCCAGACTTTCCTGTTTCTATCCTTCAAAATGGTGTAAAGATGACGCTGGAACCACCCAAGGGATTGAAATCCAATCTTGCGAGGTCCTACTTGCGTTTCACCGACAAGATCTTGAGCGACTGCGCAAAACCAGACGAGTGGAAGAAGCTTATTTTTGCAAGCTGCTTGTTCCATGCTGTCATTCAAGAGAGACGCAAGTTCGGACCACTTGGCTGGAACATCCGGTACGAGTTTACTGACGGAGATTTGAGTGTATGCCAAACTCAGATCAGAATGTTTTTGAACGACTATCAGGAAATCCCATACAAGGTTTGTACTGCTGCGAGCAAAGATCCGAATCTAACTACCCGCATTGCTTGCAGGTCATTCGATTCTTGTGTGGAGAAATCAACTATGGAGGACGAGTTACAGACGACAAAGACAGGAGGCTCATCAACAATCTTCTTTTGATTTTTATCAATCCCAATGTACGACACATGGTGTTTTTCCCTTGGTTCTACGCTCACTATTTCCACTTTTTCTCTCAGGTGGTAGAAACATCTCAATACTTCTTCAGTCCATCGGGTGTGTTTCGAGTTCCAGAAGCCTCCAACGTGAATCAGTTCCTGGCTTACATCAAAGAGCTACCACTTGCACCAAAGCCAGAAATCTTTGGACTTCACGAGAACGCGGACATCACTTGCGACCAGAACGAGTCGTACGACCTCTTCAACACCGTGCTCATGCTGCAACCAAGGGAGCAGAGCTCCGGAGGAGGGGGCTTGTCCCGGGAAGAGATGATCGAGAAGTCGTGCCGTGACATTCTGGAGAAGTTGCCTTCGGTGTTTGACGTGGAGGCGGTCCTGCAGTTGTATCCCACCATGTATAGCGAGAGTATGAACACCGTGCTGACGCAGGAGTGCATTCGGTACAATGGTCTTCTCTCGGTCATGAAGATATCGCTGAATGACGCTCTCAAGGCTCTCAAAGGTCTCGTGGTCATGTCCATGGAACTTGAGATGGTGTGCTCTAGCATCTTCAATAACCAGGTAAACTTTCTGGTCATTCGTTCTTCCGTTTCGTAGTATAGATTGTTAAACCTTTGGAGCATATTTGCAGGTGCCTGAAATGTGGGCTGGTAAGGCTTATCCTTCGTTGAAACCTCTTTCGGCTTGGGTGGCTGATCTATTGGAGCGAACAAATTTCATCAGTACATGGATAAGGAACGGTGCTCCTCCCGTGTTTTGGATTTCAGGATTTTTCTTCCCTCAGGTTTGCTTCTCCTGTTTTTCTTTACGTCTCCGAGCAGCAAGCTAAACTCATCTCTCAAACACGCCCAGGCCTTCCTGACGGGAACACTGCAAAACTTTGCGAGAAAGTACAGATACCCCATCGATACCGTGGGCTTCGACTTCGTGATCATTGACGACAGAACTTACGACACCATCAAGCAGCCCCCGGACGATGGCTGCTACATCCGGGGCCTATACCTCGAGGGATGCCGGTGGAACTACGAGCAGCACGTCCTGGACGAATCCAGGCCCAAGGAGTTGTACACGGAGCTCCCGGTGGTGTGGCTCAAGCCTCTCCAGTTTAGGAAGGCTCCCACGGAAGGCATCTACGAGTGCCCGGTTTACAAGACACTGGTTCGCGCAGGTACGCAGATCACTCCCTCCTTGGGAGTTCAAACATTTAAGTTCACAAGAATCTCTCTCGTTTTTCAGGAACACTATCGACTACTGGTCACTCGACAAACTTTGTCATGTATATAGAGCTGCCTTCCAAGGAAGATCAATCACACTGGATAAACAGGGGTGTTGGTCTCTTCACGTCACTGGCTTATTAGTTTTGTAGAATGGTAGAAGCGAGAGTAGTGAACGAGGAGTGAGAGTGAGATGACCAACGGTGTAAGTGTCAAGTGATTGCTCTCTTTTTTCGCGTACATATTGTACATAGCTTGCTTGTAAATAATTTGAACTACGGGTATATTTTGGAATCTAGGTCTTTAGTTTTCTTTGTTTTCTTTCTTGCTTCCATGGAAGAAGAGCTCCACAATGCAGCTTCTGACGCTGGTATGGAGATAAGTGTTGCCATCTTTTTCTCATGTTTTCTCTCCAGGCGGGGCTCTTCCTCTGGACAACGATGGAACGCAAAACTCGGAGAGCACCAGCACTGACGTGTGGGAGAACTTGCGAGAGATTTTTCAAGACATAGACTCCCAGTCCAGCAGGTCTCTCAAAAATATGTTTCTTGCTATTAGATCTTGGCAAAGTAACACACACTCGAGGTTATCAGTGTCGAGAGCAAGGCTCTCTTAAAGAAACCCATCATGCATCTCCGGCGACTACTGGAAGTCCACTCTATGATCCGTAAGACCTCGCCTCGGCTAGTTCTTGAGAACCAGAGACGTTTCTTGCTTACAGGTGAGGCAGAAAACGAGCTGGATAAATCTTACCTTGGTGTTTTGTTCGAGCGAGAGTGGTACCTCAGGAAACTACAAGCTGTTGAGGTACTTCGGAAACTCGATCAAGCTTGTTCTTTTTGTCTTTCTTAGGCTGCAATCGGGCCTGCTCCACCATACGTCCAAACCGTGACAAACACCGGCGGCGTTTCTGCGGCAGCAGCATTCGCCATGACCATCAGAAGCATTCTCTACGAAGATAGCCAGGATTTTAGCCTGGTTGGATCGAGATGGCGCTGAAGATCTATCCTGTTTTATTAGTACGTACTGCCCTAGGGGAACAAAAGTTGTTCCACAATCGCTTCTAATCTACTTATACGTACATGAAGTCGAGACCCGGAAGTGCATTGGCCGCACCTTTCCTCTCGGCTTCGGCTTCCGCTTCGCGCTCCTTTCTGCTCTCGTACTCGTGGTCGTCGGTGCGCATCTCGTACCTGCAAACCGGGCACGAGTTGTGTTCCTCCTGGGCGAACGTCATATAACGTTTCTCAGCCAAGACACGAATCCAGAAAAAAAAAAAAAAGCACACGTACCAGCCATGGCTTGAGACAGAGAGGATGGAAGTAGTGCTTGCAAGGCATCTCTTGCATCTCATCGCCGACCACCAAAACTTCTCTGCAAACTGCACACTCGGTTCCATCGCCCAGGCCCTTCAGCACTTCCTCGGTCACGCGTACGATGGAAAGCTTCGCGACTTCGTCCTTGGAAGCTGGAGGTGGTCCTTTCTGAGTATCCTGCTCCTGCAAGGCACAGAAGAAGAGATAACTCGAGTCGCTGTGAAGTTTGGTGGCATCTAACCCGTTACCTGGCTTAGCCGAACTGCCTGTTCAATCACAAAGTTCTCCAGCGCTGTGAGTGACTGCACATAATCCTCCAGCTCTTCATCGTCATGTTCGCCTTCACCATCAAGCTGTGCCGGTCCGTAATGATACGTAGTCGGAGCGAGAAGCCATAGCGGAGGTCGTGGCTCCGGATCGACAGTCAATTGTCCCTCGAACAAAAATGGTGAGCCTGTTCACGAGGCGGTGTGAGACAAAGACTAAAAGAAAAATTTGCGTACGCACTTGGTCCTGCTCGCGCTTGCTGCTGTGGCTGTGAATTGTCTTCGTCCTCGTGGAGAAACTCGCGAGCCTTAGTGAGCCAGTTCATCATGTTCTCCTGCTCTTGCGGGTCTGTGATGGCATCTCCAGCTTCCTCAAACAGTATCTGCCCAGCAATCCAGAATCCTTTTCCAGTGTAGCGGCTCTGAAGGAGCGAGCCCGCTCGGCAAGCAGCTGCGTACATCTACACACTCTCCCTGGCTCAAATCAATCCTCTCACAGGAATCAGATCGCTCACTCACCGCTCTCTTCTCCGCCGCCGTGGCCCCGTCATAGCGATCGCGGAAGAGAGATGCCAGCGCCGTGGCCGCGCTCTCGAAGCTGCTCTTCTTCCCGAGCTGGTTGTGAAGATCCGCCACGACCGCCTCCATTGCCCCTGGTTGCCCTAAAATAAAAAATGCAAGGAAAATATTATTTACGGCGAACGCGGGAATTTAGAAACAAAACGCGCTAGAGTTTAATGGAGCTTTTAGGGTAACTGGCCCACGGGTCCTTAATTCCGGCCACCCCTGGCCCAAACCTTGTTCATGTGATAAATGGAAAATTATATAGCAATTTTTTGGTGGGTTTTATAGCATTTTAGGTTATAATGGATTTGATTGTCATCTAAACATTCATCACTTTTCTCAATCATAAATTTAGCCATTTAGAAGAAAAGGAACCTATTCCATTATATTCTTGAGTTTAGAAGAGAGTTTAATAAAACTATAAAAGAAAGAGATCTTTTAAGTTCAACTATTCATCAAGTTACATTTCATCATAGGGTCAAAGTATCTCACAAGTGGGTAAACAAAGTGAAAAAGTTGGAAAGAACATATCAAATCTTGAGGTAGGCTATTTTTTTGAAAAAGAAAAACATTCTTAATAATTTCTTAGATCCTATCACAAAATTTATTGTTCAATCAACTACAAAGCTCAGCCAACACAATATGCATACATAAAGCACATCACATGCCATTTCCTTGCATGGTCAAAACGCTATAACAAGAAACCAGCATACTATAAGGCAAAAGAACACAACTTTCAAAAGCTCGTGCACAAACACTTGCAGCTCTTAGAGGCTGTCCCATTCTGGCCTATCCTTGCAGCAAGAGGTAACTATCGGTTTCCATTTCAGATTTTTTAATTGAACTTGCTTCCAGCCTATGGTGTAGAAAAGTCTGGTAGCTCGTATCCCTGAAAGTGTACCTGAAAGTCAATGTCCTAGCACTGCAAAGGTAAAAGATCGTTAGGTTGAAAGAAAAAGAAATGTCTGACTTCTTGTTTGTCCATGTCTTGTAAGTCAGCCTTCAGCCAAAGCATGTAGCCAAAAGCATGCGATTAGAACATGGAATGAAGAATCAATAAAGAAGGCTATACATGAGGTGGAAGAGTGTGGCATGTCTAAAAGAAAAGTTGCTCAAGAATTCAATGTACCTTGGACGACTTTGTGATTGCATCTATGGTGAAAGCTCAAGTTAAAATCAGTTATCCACTCACTTTCAATCAACTGAAAAATGCAGCAAAGTTGTTAGTTGCTAGTAGAGTAACTACTTGGATAAGTCAAAAATGGTGCAAAGGTTTTATGAAAAGACATCTAGAGATTAGTAGCAAAGTTGTTAAAGCTTTGGAGCTGTAATGAGCAAAGTCCTTGAATCAAGTAGTTGTGGCACAATTCTACAAAAACTTGGAAGCAACTTACATTGGAAACTACTATGAGGCAAATCACATTTGGAATGCTGATGAAACTAGTGTTCGGGCTAATTGTTCTAGAGGTGTCAAAGTGTTAGCTGTTCGCCAAATCGTCCCAAACAACACACAAAGCACATGATTGTTCTAGTGGCCATAAATGTAGTAGGTGGATGAATACCTAGCTTTTATATCTTCAAAGGTGAGTAGAGGATGCAAAATTGGATTGCAAATTGTGAAGTTGGAGCTGCATTTGCCATCAGCAAGAAAGCTTGGATGACAGACTTGTGGCCATAGTGGCTTGAACACTTTGTGAAATCAGTACCTGGTGGATGCTCGCCTACAAACCGCCATGCTCTCATTGTTGATGGCCACGGATCCCATGTCACAAAGGTTCAAGAATGTTATGTGTGGACGTGATTCTTCTTCTAGCATATACTTCTCACCACATGCAGTTGTTAAACATTGCATGTTTTGGCATGGACGAACACACTCTTGGACATCTAGGACACGAAGTCAATTGTTGAGATCTCACATAGTTATCCAGTAGAGCCATGGCTATGGCTTTGACACCTGCAAACATCTAGTCCAGTTTTAGAGTAAGTGGTTTATGGCCGTTGAACAAGAATGCTATAGACACTCACTTTGGTCCAAGTACACTCCATGTAATATCTCTCGACGACTTCGAAGCAGACTGTAAGCCACAAATTTTTCCTTTCCAATTTGCCAGCTTACCTCGTCTATCCGACCAACTCTGCCTTGGCTTGTGCTAAGTTCCCTCGCCAAGGTTCTCGCCTATGGTACCAGCTACTACTTGGTTTCAGCTACTCACTGCACGAGCAACGGAGTGTTAGCCATCCATTTATGGATTCCCAAATCTCTCCCAATCCCCCTCCCCGGGTTAGACTGGACTTAAGGTTCGGCTACACTCCCCGCAGGCACAAGCAGCCAAGCACACCAAGCCTCTAGATTCCTAACACCCCTTGGTACCACAAGACTTGATCATGGGACCCTCTAAATCCCAAGCCTTGGGTGCAGCACTTGCTTCGGGACGTCGGGGCGAAACACCGTGGCCTAACGGCCCGGTATGGGTACCTCTACCCCCCCTCTTCCATCCCGAAGGGAAGGCCCAAGCCCCCGGAAGGGCGAGGACCAATGAGCCACAAGGTACTCAAGTGGGGCACCACTCCACCTGAGCCGAGAGCACTGCAGTCGGTTTCCCTTTCGGGAGTGGGAGCTGCTCTTGAGCACTTCCTTGGATGGCCCCTCCGGCACCAGCCAAGTCCATGCTCACTCCCACCCAAGGCCCCTCGGTCCCAGTTTCAACCTCAAGTCGGTTTGGAAGCCCAATTGGAGAGTCCCTTCAAAACTGGTTCCTGGACCTCACTATCCCTACTATACTTTTGGAACCCCCTGCAGCCCCCCCCCCCCCCCTCTGGAGACGCACGCTTTGGGCTTTCACCCCTTGACCCGTATTAGTATTTGGACTTAGTCTTTGGCTCGATCTCGGACCCGATTTCGGATCCGACTTCGGATTCGGTCTCGGACTCGATTTCGGACTCGATCTCGGACCCGATCTCGGACCCGACCTCGGACTCGACCTCGGACTCAGTCTCGGACCTGATTTCGGATCTCGGACTCCGTCTCGAACTCGGTCTCGAACTCGGACTCGAACTCGGTCCTAGAGTCGGTCTTGGACTCGATCCTCGACTTGGTCCCATCCGATGAACTCTTTGTCATTTCGGTCAAGCTTTTGGGGATCCTTTAGCCTACGACATCTCGGGGAGTCGGTTCCTTACACAGACTTCAAAAACACTTTGGAACTGGGAGACCAGAGATTGGCAGCCACCTCAATCATGAACTAGGAATCTAGTGAAGCCTGAACAGCATGAGGATTTAGTGCAGGCTGAGGTCCATCTATAGCATCCAATGCAGCCTGAGCAACAAGCAAGCAGTGATTGTGACCAGCTTGAGCATCCTGAACTTCCTAGACAACTTGAGCAACTAGGTAAAAAGCACTACTCAATTCTCATTCACTTACAACTTTGTTTCCCAGGAGCTTCGCTAGAGCATCAAGTTGAGCAGCATGAGCAACACATGGATGTGCCTGGATGGCAATCAGAAAACAACAAGGTGGCATACTTACATGCAAAATTATTTTTAGGGGTGCAAAGTTGTCTTCGACTTGGACTAGTGTTGCAAGCTAGTGTTGGAACTATTTTAACAAGTCTAGAATTCACTAGTGTGGTTAAAGCAATTGCCACTGCAAAAGAAGCACATGAGAAGCAGAAAAAATTGGAAGCAATTGAAAGGGCTTCAAGGAAAAAGGAAAGAGAAGAAACAACAATAAAAAAGAAAGAAGCAACAGCCATCAAGAAAAAGGAGAGGGAAGAAATAGCAGCTAGAAAAGTTGAAGCGATAGAGAAGAAAAAATTGGAAGCCTTGAAAAAAAAAAGGAGAAAGAAGAGGAAGCAATGAGAAAAAAAAAAATAAGAGAAAGAATGAAGTCCTGGAATCTCTAATAAGCAAACACCAAAAACAAAAGTAATGAATTTGCTTGTTTTCACTCTAATATCTCTGGGCATGCTTATAGTTACCTAGAGAATGTTGTTGCCCACACTGCCCTCACTCCTCCTCACAGCAACAAATGGACAATATTAGGGCCATCGATGGACAAAAAATTGGGCCATAAACAAACGGATATTGAGCCATAAATGGACTGACTTAGGATAAGTTTAATGAGCGGTTTTTAAGATTTTGTGAGTAGTTTTTTCTAAAAATTAGTTTATAAGCAGTAAATCATATAAAATTTTATATTATGCCTTTATGTACACAAATTATATTTAAATAAATGAATTCGTACATGATTTTCTTAACCTTGGCAGAAATTGTGCCTGTTATCCTAGGGTTTTTACTTCTTCTTCACAAATGCGGGGAGAGCTTGAGATCTTCAAGTTCATGAGAGGATATCAGTGAATAAATTTTAGATTAGAACATATTTCAATGCAGTTATCATCCTATAAACTCATAGTGCTCATGTGTGTGTTGGAATTGATGAATCTTTCGATCTTTGGTCTAGTTGTTTGTGAGTGCTCTGAGAACTTTTCTTGTTTCTAGGCCCAAGGCGACACGTTCTTTTGTCAGGGAGACTACGAGAGCGCACTGGGGCACTAGTTGGGCTCAGAGATACTAGAAATTTGCAGGGTTACAGACCGTTGGATGATTTTTAGAATATGCCACGTCGGCACTTCTAACGGGCTTAAATTTTAAAATTAAAGCGTAGAGCGGGAAACGCTTTTAGGGTTCTGGCGAGAGAGCAATGGCGCAGCAGCAGCTCTGGGAGATCGGGTGGAGAATCGAGGAGATTGTCCGCAAGGCGGAGCTTCTAGAGCTTGTGTGCCATCCCGAGGAGCTCGGCGGTGAGGTAGAATTAGGTCCCGAGCAGCAGCAGGATCGACAGCCGCTACAAGATGAGAGTGAGAGCAATCAGGATGTAGTTGCGGAGAAATTAGAACAGGTGAAGCTCGATTCTCTGCAGGGACCACGCGCGCAGCACTACGCTGCTCCAGAAGTTGGGGCCAAAACGATGGATTCGACAGAATTCTTTGTTTGGGAAGATTTTCCTCCGCCCAGCAAGAGAAGAAGCAGTGCCAATTCCGGGAGGCAGCCAAGATCATCGTCACAGAACAAGGACAAGTCTGTTGGCTGCCCCTCCTCACGCAAGCGACGGCCCTTGGCCTTAGTCGCTTGAACTTCCCTCCATTATTACCTAGGGCTTAGGGCTTCTTAGCAGAAGGGGAACGAATGGATCAAGTGTTCCTCTCCTCGGACATCAATTTTCCGGTAACAGCTCTTGTAGAGTCCTTGCAGGGAGATTTGCGCTCGCGTCCAAGCTCTCAAGGTACAAGGGAAAATTTTATTGTTTATATACTCTTTTCTTCCACTGCAGAAGATCTCTCTCCTGCGCTCTATGTGGAATGCGCGCTCTACATTGATGGATCGCCTTTTGGCCTCGTCACAAGAACTGGGTATGGTTAAATCTACGTAGACCTCTCTTGGTAAATTTTTTAATTTTTTTTATTCCCATGAAGATTGGCAATCGAAAAGCCTTATAAATGGAACGAGGCGATCACACTTACTGGAAAGTACAGAGATTTGTCTTTGAATGCGCAGCTAGCTTTCACTGTTAAGTGTAGTGTTTTCCGCTTTGTGTCGTTTTTGTGACCATTCATTTGTTTACAGGTGTGGGATGTATCGAACCCATTGCAAGAAATCGCCGTAGGTGGTTCAACTCTTAGGCTATTTAACAGTAAGGGGCAGCTTAAAACTGGAAAGCAGAGGCTCAGGCTTTGGCGAGGGCGTGTTGCCGATGGTTCCGCTGTAAGCACCACGCCTGGCAAGGTATTTACGTGCTTAGATCACTTACTGGCCAAACGAAGTATTCTCAGGTGCCGGAAGGTGAGAGAGGGGAAGGGGAACGTCTTGACAAGCTCCTTTCGAAGTATGAAAGAGGAGACATCGAACACATTGACTGGCTGGACAACTCGGCTTTGAAAGCTATCGACAAGATCATGGCAGAGCAGAAAAAGAGCAGCACTCATATTTTTTTGACAGTGAAGTTGTGGTCATTCGGACACGCCGTCGAGTACCAGGTTTTACCTCGTGTTTCCGCTTTTCTCCCTTCTAACTTACAATTGTTCCAGGAACGAGCTGAAGCTTTACTTTCTCAGCCACCGACTTCTAGAACTTTGTGTGCACTATGGGATACCGAGATTGGTCGTGAAAATCCCTGTGAGGTCAAGCACTTCAAACTGGCTCGAAGTATTTCAAGACTTGTCATTGACCCGGACTTGAAACCAAGCTCCAAAGAAAAGAGGTGCGCTACAGTTCGTCATTGGTGTTTCTTTCAGACATTATGTTTTTGCAGAGTACTCATGCAAGTGTGTAATTCTCCTCCCACGCAAAAGCTGACTAGCGATGACAAAATGTTACTGTGGAAATTTCGTTTCTACTTGTCGACCGACAAAAAGGCGCTTACAAAGTTTCTTCGATGCGTTGATTGGAATGACGCACAGGTGGTGTACTCTGGAGTTTTTTCTCCTAATTACTTCTTTATTTGTGCAGGAAGCAAAGCAAGCGACGGAATTGATGCATAAGTGGGAACCTGTTGATATTCCAGATGCTCTGGAGCTCTTATCTGCTGATTTTGAGAGTGAGGAGGTACTAGTCCCACAGCAGTTTCTTTTATCCTTACCACGTTAGGTGCATTCCAGGTACGAGCATATGCAGTTGAGGCCTTGAGGAAGAAAACAACGGCGGAGGAGCTGCAGTGCTACTGGTTGCAGCTAGTACAAGCTCTTCAGTTTGAACGATGTGACAAGTCCCCGCTTGCTTATTTTTTGGTAGAGAAAGGTAAGCCGATTCTTGTGCTACCAAGTCTGGCTGGTCTGACAAACAACCTTCCTACAGCGGTGCAAATCCCAGACCTGGCTAATTCTTTTCATTGGTATGTGATGAAGGAACTCGCCAAAGCGACAGAACCCTCAAACAAAACGAAGAGATTTTTTTCCGTGCACGACTTGTTTGAGACACAGATGTTGAAGGTGTGTGCATGTTATATCGATTTCCTTCTGCTATAAATTTTGTTTCAGGAGAAGCCTATGGATTATAGCGGAAAGCCGCTGCTGGACCAGCTTCACCGTCAAACTGAGCTTGTTTCTAAGCTCTGCAGTATTGCCACGGCTGTCAAGGATGTTGCTGACAAGGACGAGAAGCTTCGTCAACTGCTTAGCGACTTGACCTCATTTGAGGAGCTGCCTTCCCCCTTGGATCCGAAAATTATAATCACGGGGATCGTACCATGTGAATCATCAGTGTTCACGAGTTCACGTAGTCCACTAGTATTAACTTTTCGAACTGTGGCTGGTGGAAGCTGCAAGGTCATGTTCAAAAAAGGTGATGATCTCCAACAAGATCAGCTGGTGAGCTTTTCCTTTTCTTTTTTCGTTGTTTTGCGAGGAAAGTAACTTACTCCGTTATAGGTGATCCAACTTATCACTCTGATGGACCAGCTCCTGAAAGTGGAGAACCTTGATCTGCAGCTCACGCCTTACAGGGTTCTTGCTACCAACAAGGACGAGGGATTGCTCGAGTTCGTGACAGGATCAAAGAATTTGCAAACGGTATGTTTTGTTTTGTTTTTGTTGTTTTTTTTTTTCCTTCTTCTTCTTTTCAGGCGTTAATTATTGTTGCAGATTTTGGTCCGTCACAGGTCTATCATCAACTACTTTCGACAATGCCATCCCGATCCAGAGGGTCAATTCGGGATCAGCGCACCATGTCTCGAAACTTTTGTGAAGAGCTGCGCTGGATATTGTGTTATAACGTACATTTTGGGTGTGGGAGACAGGCAAGCATTCTTGTTAGTGCTTGTTAACGGGTTTGAAGCTTCTCCATCTACAGGCACTTGGAAAACTTACTGATCAGAGACGATGGACGATTATTTCATGTAGATTTTGGCTTCATTCTTGGCAAGGATCCAAAGCCTTTCCCTCCACCTATGAAGCTGTGTAAAGAAATGGTCGACGCCATGGGAGGTATTAACAGGTAACGGGATTTGTCCTTTTTCAAACCAATTTATCCATGTCGTTTACAGTGAATACTACGGGAAGTTTAAGCTATACTGCTGTGAGGCATTCAACATTCTGAGGAAGTCCAGCAACTTAATACTGAACCTCTTCTATTTAATGTCAAATTCCGAAGTTGCAATCTTGAAGGTAAGTTTTGCTTGTATGTCAGCAGCAGTAATCGTGCCGTGTTTTGCTTGTAGTTGCAAGAAAAATTCCAATTATCTTTGGACGACGAGGAAGCTATCCAGTTTTTCCAATTACTGATAAACGAGAGTGTTAATGCTCTTTTTCCTCAAGTGGTGGATACAATGCATCGCTGGGCACAATACTGGCGATATGGAAAAGTATGAAACCATGCCACTTGTAAGACGTGTTAACAAAATACACAATTCTTTCAAAACGATCTCGCTTTACTATAGAGGTGTGCATGACTTTATCTTTGCCCCGACGTTATCAGTGTCCTGATGCGAAGAGCATCAACCACATCCCGACACTTAGCAAGTTCCTGCAGCTCCTAGTCACCAGGATCACCCATGAAAGGTGACACCGCGATCCCGCTCATGGGATGGATTGTAGGGATACAAGCTTGGAGTGTCATCAGCCACACAAGCTTATTCAAGCCCTTGTCCAGTCCTCAAGTCCTTAATCCTGTCCCGGCTTGCTGGACTCTGCATCCACTCCATGTCCTCTGCGGAATAGAAGCCTGCCACAAGACTGCCACTTGGATCCACTTTCTTGCTCACGATTTCCTGCATGTATTCCCTTGGTGTAGCACTGAAGACCAAGATCGTCTTGTACACCGTAGGTCCTCACTGTGTCGTCGCCGTGGTTGGCGCCTCCAAAATGTCAGATGCTACTTTTCACAAGGAGATCCTTCCCCTGTGTTGTTCTCCCTTATCTTCTGGAAACTTTGTCCCACAGATCCTTTTCCATGAACTAGAACCGTTCCATTTGCATTATAACTAGACCAGGTGGGAAACAACTAGCCAATCAAAGCACATATGCAGCTATGATGCCATGAAGGAATGAGGAAACATGGACAATGGATCCATAATAGACACATTGTCCACACTTCCTCATTCCAACATGGTATCGGAGCTACATATTTTCTCTGATGGCGCTGCACCCGGGCGATCATCCAGAGCGTTGCATCTTACTGACCAAATGAAATGGGCGTGAAGTGGGCGACGGCAAGTACAGACAGTTGAACTGACTAGAAATAAAGAATATTCTCAGCATGAATCACCTTATGAAACCATCAACGTTGAAACTGAATGGAAGACGTGCTCTTAAATTCGGAAACAAAATACACAGTTCTCTCGCCTCACTATGGTTGCCAGGAAGTCTTTTGGGAATGCATGACTTTATCTTTGCCCTGAGGTCCACTATCAGTGTCCTGAATCGTTGTCTTCCAATGCAAAGCGTTGGCAATGCTCTTCACCTCTAGCAGCGTCCCTATGTCATCTCGAAATATCGCAAAACCTCCAGGCCTTAGCAATCTATCGATCTCGAGAAGGATGACAACCATTGAGCAACTGCACCAGATCAGCGATTAGCAAACTACGGAAATCAAAACTATCACAAGGGGCTTACTTGTGCTTGGCGGAGAAGAGTCGAGAAGCATGCACCAAGTCGAAGGAGCGTGGATACATGGGCAGAGCTTTGCACCAATCGTGATAAACTCCCAGCAGTCCTCGATCAAATATGTTTGCGAGGTGGTTGTGAGGATTGTCCACCGGAGAAACGTTGAGCACCCACCATGACAGAGCAGGATTTCGTGATGCCAATGCAGCAGCAAACCTGCGTAACAATCTCCAAGCTTTATCAGCTTCCAAAATGCAAGAAGCCTCTCTCTTACCCGCCATATCCAGCGTTTGTATCGAGAACGTTGCGAATCTCCCGAATCCTTGATGGACCCAAAGATGTCAAGTAAAAATCCGTCAGCATTTTCCAGTAGTTCAGGTCAGCTTCATACGCCTCCACTGTGGCCAACTTCAAGCTGTTGTAAGAAAGGATGGTCTTGAGGCGCATCGCATTTAGCAATCGCGTTGGCCAGCTGCGTCTTTCACTTGCTGCTGCTAGTTTTGAAGGACCGGATATACAAGCTTGCAATGGAATGCCCCTGACAGCGAAAAGCATAAAACCTGAGTGTGAGTCCAACAGCTTATCACATACCCTTCGCGAGTATTTTACCAAGTATCATCAGGTGGTGGACTTCCAGGATCACAAAACACCGAGTGGTTTTGTAGCTGATAACAGGAATTGTTCGCGGGCTTCTGCCAAATAGCAACTTTGTTCTTTCTCGAAGCCAGGATCCAACACATCGAAACTGCTGCTTTCAACATATCTGCCAAATGCAGAGAAAGCTTCTATCAATCAAGAACATCAAGATGAAAAGAAAACTGAAAAAGACTAACCGTTCCATAGTTTTTCTTTTCCTGTATTGCTCCAAACGAAAAAACCACCTCGTCGCAAAATTCGATCAGCTTCGAAAAGATGCAACGCTCCTGCAAGCAAGAAACCAGTTTGTCAATTGCTTAGACATCCAATGCTCACTCACTCTTCCTGGCCCAAGAAGTACTACAGCTCCCACAATGGATGAGATCAAAGGCTTCGCTTGGATATGGAAGTCTTTCTCTGGCAAAACTCTGGACCATTCCGGGAAAGCCTCTCTCGAGAACAAGCTGGATGGCATCGGCTCTCGATTTCTTCGATGCGATAGAAAGCGCCAAAATTCCATGTCTATCAAACTCCACGCTCAAGCTCCCCACACCGGCCTCTAGATTCAGGGCCAACCGGGGCTCAAATCCTGGTAGCGACTGTAGAAAGCAAGAGTTCTTCTGTACATCTCAAGAATGTCACTACTACCTGGAGGAGCTCATCGACATATTTCCTGGCGGCGTCCAGTTCGGCAGATCGAAACGAGATTTTGGTGCCGTGCATTTGGATCGCAGCGGCGGTCGAGCGCGCAAGATCGCCATTGCCGATGTTCTCCGCCCTTGCCTGGCATCAAATCGAAAGGATCAAACCCTAGAATTCCTCTTCGCTTGGAGGGAAGGAATCGCAAGCGGCGCGAACCTTGTGGACGCAAGAAGGCCAGGCATCCGGGCGCGTGTATCCCCGTGGCAGCGGAACGAGACAGGGATTTTCAATGCGCCGGCGCTCGCAGCTGGAGGAATTAGACTCATCCTCGATCTGGCAAGGGATTGAATCCGTTGGGATCGACTTGCAGGCTTGGGAAGAAATCGAGCGCCTCAAGTCCCTGAGCCTTGAATTGTCGGAAGTAGAATTCTGTGGGAGCCGCGACGAGATAATCTCCTCCTCCACCTCCGCCACAGCAACGCTCTCCTCCTTCCCAATCCCTATCAGTCCCTCGATCGCGACCGAGCCCTGGCCATCAAGAAACCCCAGAATTTCGATGTTGCTGGAGAGATTGAGCTGCGCGGTGCTGGAAATCTGCAAGAATCCCGCGATCGCCAGCATCCCAATAATCCAGGCGGCCATGGATTGATCGGCTACATGCCGGTAGATGAGAAGAGAGAAGAGAGCGTGGGCGCCATCGCTTCTTCTTGATCGGTGAACCAGCCAAAGATACCGCCCAAGATGCGAGTTGCTTGGCGTTGGCAAGAAAACACCCATTATCATAAATCGAACCGCCGACCTCCAAAGTCGCGGGAAAATTTTCCTTCCCTGTGTATGAATGTGTCCATCGATGTGTGGGCATGACGTGTCCCCATCTGGGGCCATTGGAATCCATGCATAGTCATCGCCTATGAATGCTAATTTAGCACGTAGCACTCGTATGTGAAACGTCCAAGCAAAGATTAGAATCGCAAATCGACGTAGAGGAAAAGCCACAGTCTTCTTGTATAGACCGTGTCTGTTAGCAAATTAGGAGAAAGCGAGAGAGATCATACACCAAGAGTAGACAGCAAGTTAGAGGATCTTGCGGAATAATCATCGGTTGAGATGTATGAAAGACAACATCTGGAGTAAAATAAAAATGAGACAAAGGCATTGCTTTTTCGAGCTTATCTTGACAATTAGAATCAGTCTTGACAACAAGATCTAGATATTCTAAGGCTGCATTGTTCCATCGTGCAACTTTGCAGATATGCTAGGATATTTGGGCGTGTCGAAGATGCGGAGCTGGTTTTCCATGAGGTCACACTCCTGCTCGACAGAAAAACTGGCGCTCGATCTATGCTTTCACCATGATCTTTGCTTATGCAAATTTAAATCTGTGAAGAAGAACTACGAAGAAACTAGAGAAAGAACTCCCAAATTCCTCCAGATCTCTCATCCGAGAGAAAGAAGCACACGATTGTGAACGAAAGAATAGGAGTCTTTTAGATGTACAGGCGAAAATTCGGTTCTTCCATCGATGGAAGAACTTTCTGACACCTTCCTGCTCCTTGTAGAAGTTCTGGATTTTCTCCTCGGACATGCGGACGTCGGACGAGCATTAAACTGCCTCAAAGCTCTGTCGATGAATTCTGCAAGCGAAAAATACATTAGTGTCAACAAAATCAAATAGATGTTTAAGAACCTGTCAGTGGATGCTGCGAATACCACTCCTGAAGGGGAGAAGTGAAGTCGGCTCCCGTGCACTCGACCAACCTCTTGAGTTCCAAGCAATTTTTCCACTCTAAAAGACAAGAAAGAAATAGGAACCAGAAAGAAGTACCAATGAACTTAACTGTCATAATTTGCATCGCCTCGAGTGCTTCTTCCATTTCAGTGCATCATCTAGAAACTCCTGCAAGTCCGAAACACATCTTGGTTTCAAACCGGGTAACGCACGCTTTTCCTCTCGAGTCACTGTTTTTCTTCAGTAGGCTGTGTGCAATAATCACCCCTATAATCTCGCGGGCACGGTTGACAACAGGACCTCCCAGTGAAAGCTTGTGGTCGATATTTGAGCTCGGCACTACAATGCCCTCAAATGGATAACGAATCAACCATCGGACGCTTCACGAGTTGCGTGCTGTTAGGAGCCAGACGCAGGTCCAAACCAGGTAGCCATGCAAGTCTTGATGCTTTGTTGCTCTTTAGCCTCCAAGTGCACTACAAACTCTTCGGCCTTGGCAATCTTACACTCGCTGCTCAAAAGCATTACGAGAAGGAAAACGTTGACGATGAAAGCTCTAGCAGATTTAAATTCGAAGATATTGGAAGAGTTCTCCTGGTGTGCTTGAGTGTGATTCTGAAATTATTGTGGTAAGTTGTGGAAGATGAAGCAGCCAAGGAAACAGAATGAATCAGGCATGGAGACAAGATCCAAAGGCATTGTAATTCAATCGAGGAAAATTTAAAATGTATGTTCCTGATGATCCCAAAAGAAAGCACTCCTAACGACTCTAAAAAGGCGAGATGGTTTGTTTCTTTAGCCTAGGTGGTTTAATGGCAGCCA